ATCAGAGCAGAAAACACAAACCTGTTGGTCAAACTGAATTTAATTAAATAAAACTTGCATCAGACAAATAACTGGAGACTGAATCATTACATGTTCATTAGATGATTTTCTGGTTTCTCTCCTGAATCTGAGATGTTCAGCAGCTGCTTCAGTGCCAAGAGGCTGCTGTTCAAAGTGATCAGATATGATCAATACCTGAGGAGGCCTGCAGCAGAATTCATCCAGAATGTGATATGAAGCTGGTGGATGGTTCCTCTGACCAGGTTCTAATATTTGGTCTTGTACATGTCATTTAAATCCTGTTTTCACTCTGTGTGTCTCTTCCACCTGTGATCAGAGTCCAGGAGGTAAGAAGCCAACATTTGGTCGTGTGAACTGTTGCTGAAGGCCGACCTTCAGCTCAGTGGCTGTCAACCTGCTGCTTACTGGTTTATTCAGGAGTTACAGGACAAATTCAGAATCATTTCATACAATAGATTTAATGTTTCAAATGTTCAAATTAAAATCAGCATTTTTCTCATAACTTTGTCCTTAACACACATTTGAACTGATCACTGGTGTAGAAGGAGCGCCCAGATGTTGTGAACATGAACACTGAAGAACTGGACTGACTGAAAACTGCGATGAGAGAATAATTCAGAAACCCAACGGAGAGCTGGGATCATCACATCATGAATCCAGGAAGAGGCTTTGTGGTTTTATTCTGTAAACACACTTCATCCTGTCACTGGGAGGCATGTGGGTCTACTATGGGATGGTCTTGTATGGGTTTGTCCTCTCATGGACACAGACTCACTGGAGGGTTAGGGTTTTAGGAGGAGAACAAAGCGACTTCACTACGATGTTTCTCATGTGAACAAACTTTATCGTGTAAATCTGACTCATAGTAAAATCACAGCTTTGTTTCCTACGATTCAAAGTATTTCATGTTCTTGTTGATACGATTCTAACTGTGACATCGTTTAATCGTCCAGCCTCGTCCTACCCGACGCAGCCGAGTCCGCAGCACGCCGGCTGGCAGCAGGCAACCATCTTGTTGTTGTTGGAGACGACCTCGACCTCCATCAGGTCCTCCAGGCTGTCGTCTGGTTCGTCCAGCTCACCACGAGCTTCAGCCCATGCCGGCTGGGTCGCCTCCACCGACCAGAATGCAACCGGAACCTGCAGAACATGAACAGGTTTCAATGATACACAACCAGGTACGAGACCAGGTCCTACCTTCATAACTGGCCTGCAGGTGAACCTTGTCATGGTCCATCAGTTCTGATGGGAAGCGTTCTCTCACCCTCAGCTGCATCTCACTCAGCAGAGCCTCCAGTCCCGTGATCTGATTGGCCAGGTCAGGTCTCAGCTCCTCCTCCAAGGTGAGCCACGGCACCTGGACTGAAGCCACCCGAGCCGCCACGCCCACAACACCATCGATGCACCCTGAGAGGAAACAGACGGACAGACAGGTGAGCAGCAGGTCAGGAGATAATGAATCAGACTTAAACATTTTTGGAAAACAGATTTTCAGGGATCACAGGTCCTTGTGGATGTTCTCTGGTAGGTTTGGAGGTCCTTGAATGACTTGCAAAACTTCTGAAAATGTGTGATCTTGCAGAATTCAGGAAAAGCTGTGGTCTTCAAGGGTTTCCAGGAGCTCTTGACCAGTTATAGGAGAAGGTCCAGTGATCTCTTGACAATTTTCAAAGATCTCAGAAGAGCTTTCATCCTTGTGAGGTTTCAACATTTCTTGAAGTCTTGCTGCAGATGTCTAGGGGGTTCTTGGGTTCCCTGAGAATGTTCCAGGGTCCACTGAAGAATGTCTGTAGGTCTTTCAGAAGTTTAGATTTTTAGCAAGTGACAGCAACTGTAGAGGATGTTCTGGAACTTTTTGTGACCTTTGAGTTGACTCAAGGGGTTTTTGAAGGAGTACAGAGGTTCTTGCAATCTTTTAAATGTTATAGGAATGCTTAGGAAAGACAATTCTGAGGTGATTCAGCAGTTCCTTGAAGAGGTTTTGGGAAATCTTGCAGGGAAAGTCCATTAATCCTCAAAACAGGTTCAAGAACATCTAAAACCTGCAGGACAGTAGCTCACGAGGACCGGATTTGGAGATCCCTGTTCTAGAGCCTTGAGATATGACAAGAACATTCGAAGGGTTTTTGAGAAGGCTGTTGGGGTACATGAAGGATTTCTAGGGATCTTTGAGCACCAGAACATCTAGGACTCGTCAAGAGTGTTGCAGAGATGCTTGTGGATACTTGAGAATAGATGCTGCTGTAGCTGCTTGCTAAAGTCAAGACATTTCTTTTTTTTTTATATATATTTTTTTGGCCTTTGCCTTTATTTAGTGCAGTAGAGGGAGACAGGAAAGGGGGGAGAAGAATGGGAACAGACCTGCAGCAAAGGGTCGTGAGCGGGATTCGAACTCACGACCGCTGCATCGGGGAACTACAGCCCCTGTTCGTGGGCCACCCGCTATACCAGGTGAGCAATAGGGGGGCCCAAAGTCAAGACATTTCTCCCTCGTGGTGAGTTTGAGGGAGTCATTCATGCTCTGATCACCACCAGACCGGACTGCTGTGATTCTTTGTATATCGGCCTCCATCAGTCGTCTCTTTTCCGGCTGCAGCCGGTCCAGAATGATGCTACCCGGCTTTTAACTGGGACCAAAAAGCGGGAACATATAACTCCGGTCTTGGCTTCCTGTTCATTTTAGGGTTGTTTTAAAGGTTTTATTTCTTGTTTTTAAAGTTCTCCATGGGTTGGCCCCCCTTTATTTAGCAGAACTTAGTCCGGTCCACAAACCTGTTAAAGAACTGGGGTCGTCCAGCCACATGGTCCTGGAGGTCCCAGATCCAGACTCAGAACTAAAGGTGACCGAGACTTTTTGGTGGCAACCCCCAAACTTTGGAGCAGCCTGCCGCTGGACATTAGCACTGCTCGGTCTACTGAATCCTTAAGTCTGGGCTAAAGAGCCACCTCTGCTCAGTGGCCTTCAGGTCAACGCGGCGCTGACATCCTGGCTGCATACATGTTGTTTTATCGTATGTACATGTATGTTGTTCTTAGTGTTGGTTTAGCGGTCTGTTAAGCACTCGGGTCAACCCTGGCTGTTTTATGATGTGCTATATAAATAATATTGACTTTGACTTTGACCAGCTAAGACTGAAGAACTTGACTGACTGAAAACTGAAGCGAGAGAATAATTCAGCAGCAGCGTGTGAAGATAAACTCAGAAACCCAACGGAGAGTTTAAAAGTCCTGTTTGGAATCCTCAGTATTATTCTGTTTTCATGTTCAGTCACTGTAACATGCTTAATCTGGTTATCTCATCACTTGGAGGCATGTAGGTCTATTATGGGATGCACCAGAGGCTTTTGTGAGGTTCTACGTGTCCTTGAGGAGGTGCAGGGTGTTTCTGCGATAGTTTGAAGGAACGTTGGACAATCCATCAGTGATTTTGTGCTCAGGCAGGATGAGCTGACCGGTGGGGAACATGAGTCTTTGAGGAGACACTGAGGATGTCTGAGGAGTGTTTCTGGATCCTTTAAGAACTTAAATCCCGGTGAATGACCCGGTACCAAGAACAACTGAACGCAACAAACTCCTTCAAACCAGAAATGCGGGGACTCTTAGGATCAGCTACATTCTCTGACAGGTAGGAAACAAAGACGAAAAGGTAGGAAGGGAAAGTGTGTCAGCCAATCAAAGAGCTCCCACAGACAGGAAGTTGGAGATAACATCTGACCTGTATTGACCAATGAGCGTCGATCGCAGCGCTGCGTCAGAGGGAACTGACCAATCAGATCACTCGCTTTACGGAGGTCAGACAGAAAATTCTCCAGTGCCGACAGGAAGAGAACCCACAGACGCTCCGACACCTGTCTGTCCTCCACACCTGAGGGGGCGGAGTCCCAGTCTGACAGCAGGCGCAGCAGGCGGCGGGACAGACCTACAGACAACAGGTAAGACAGACAGGTGAGACAGACAGGTGAGACGCAGACAGGTGAGGTGCAGACAGGTGAGACAGGTGAGTTACCGCTGCAGATGCGATGAGCCAGCGCTCTCGTCTCGTCCATCTCGTCTCGCAGGAAGCTGCCATCAGCTGAGCTTCCTAATGACGCAGCCAGCTGCTGGAAGCAGGAAGTGACGCGGCTGAGAGCGTCCTGAGCGCGCTCACACTCGCCCTGCTGTCGGCGCCGTGCTGCCAGCTCGTCCACAGAACGCCGCCACCGACTCATGTCACTGCCCACCTGAGTGGGGAGGGGCCAACAGACTGAAGTCACGACAGATGATAAACTGTTCTTCGATCAATCAGAGCTCGCTCTCTGTACCACCTGTGTGATGTCACAAGACGGTGAAGCGTCTGATCTGGTCAAATGAGACACTACAGATCATTTTTTGCTGTTTAGAGCCAATCAAATCCATTGATCGATTATCTATTATCCCTTTGGATAAGGAGTTGTTTTCTGGGCAGACAGTCTGAGATGCTGCTCAGGAACCGACCGGTAACCAAGTCCAACACAAAGCTCATCTGATCATCAAATAGTCCAAATCAATTATCAGACAAAGTTCAGGAATAAAGTCAGAGGTTCGCTTCATGTTCAGCTTCATTCACAGATAAATGATGTAGAAAACCTAAAGCTACATTAATTTACATGCTACAGGCGCATCAGCTGATGACTGGAGGGGTTCCACCTCAGAACCCAGATGTTTACAGCTGATCCAGGAAGCACAATTCAATAACAGCTTGAACCTAATGTGCTTTTCATCCACTGTTCACAGAAATGGAGCTGATTCTTACAAGAACCCCACAATACAACCTCAGCTCCACATTTGATTTGATCTGCGAAACATTTACCTGGTGACCACCTGGGGCATGTTGCTCATGCTGTAGGAACCCAGAGGTGCACCAACAGAACCAGCTGTACAGAACCTCAGACCTCCATTACTGAGGCTGTTGGAGGTTTTCACCTTAATGAAAGTCAGTAAAGGAGGATTAAAGGTGTGTTACCTGCTGCTGGTCGCGGCTCCATCCACCTGCTTCTCTTCCTTTTCTTCTTCTTGATGCTGCAGCATCAGGCAGGTTTCTATAAACACTCTTCTTCTGCGTTCTCGGGGGAGCGCCAGTGTTTCTGATTAACGCTGAGACACCAGCTGAGTCCTGAGTCCTCTCAGCTCCCAGGAGGCTCTGCTGTAACCTCAGCTCTGCCTTGCAGGTACACCTGCCTGCCGAGGACTCACCTGCGCAGCTCGGCTGTGTTATTTATAGACAGAAATACTGACTCAGGTGTTTCTCTCATCTTTTCCATCCTGGAATAAAATTGTTGGTTTCACATCAAGACACATGAAGCTTGACTGAAAATAACAAAAAAACCTTTTGACTCACACAGACGTTGCCAGGCAACTAACACTTTCCCTCTGGTTCGGTGTTTGTGCTAAGCTAGGCTAACTCTTTCCCTCTGGTTAAGTGTTTGTGCTAAGTTAGACTAACACTTCCCCTCTGGTTTCAGTGTTAGTGCTAAGCTAAGCTAACACTTTCCCTCTGGTTTCAATGTTTGTGCTAAGCTAGACTAACACTTCCCCTCTGGTTTCAGTGTTTGTGCTAAGCTAAGCTAACACTTTCGCTTTGGTTCAGTGTTTGAGCTAAGCTAAGCTAACACTTTCCCTCTGGTTTCAGTGTTTGTGCTTAACTAGGCTAACACTTTCTCTCTGGTTTCCGTGTTTGTGCTAAGCTAGCACTTTTGCTTTGGTTCAGTGTTTGTGCTAAGCTAAGACTTTCACTTTATTTCAGTGTTTGTGCTGAACTAAGCTAACACTTTCCCTCTGGTTTGTGTCTGTGCTAAGCTAAGCTAGAACTTTCCCTCTGGTTTAGTGTTTATGCTAAACTAAACACTTTCCCTCTGGTTTCAGTCATTTTGCTAAACCAAGCTAACGCTTTCCCTTTAGTTTGGTGTTTGTGCTAAGCTACGCTAATACTTTCCCTCTGGTTCAGTGTTTGTGCTAAGCTAAGCTGAGACTTTCTCTCTGGTTTCATTGTTTGTGCTAAGCTAGGCTAACACTTTCCCTCTGGTTTAGTGTTTTTGCTGTACTAGGTCAACACTTTTCCTCTGATTTCTGTGTTTGTGCGAAGCTAAGCTAACATTTTCCCTCAGGTTTCAATGTTTGTGCTGAGCTAGGAACAAACCGGGAACATGTATGGAACATTTATTGTAAATATTCTCTGAAAACGAAGTGACAGATGACCACAGAGCTGCAGGTCATCGTGTTTAACTGACATGCAGGTTACAGGGCAGACAGCAGGAGTTAGACCACGCCCCCAAACATAATCACAGACTGATCAAAGACTGATTAACGGACCAACAGGTTTTATCTGAGGACATACGTATTAAACAGTGTTTTTACAGCATGTTAATCACGTTAGTTAGAACGTCTTCTCAGTTTGTTTCCAACATGATTGAATGTGTTATTTACATTCTGTCACAGCTTTAATGTCCACAGACAGACAGGTGTCCTCTGATTGGCTGACAGCTGTCCTGTAACGTCCTCTGTGCTGATCAGCTGACGATCAGCTGTAAAAACATCACAGTCGCCAGCTCTTCTCTGTGATGATGTCATCACCTGGTCCTGCTCCGGTTGGCTGTCGTTTAAGAAAGGGGGCAGGGTGCTGGTATTCAGAGGGGGCAGGTCAGAGTGATGTCAGAGTGATGTCGGAGTGACGGGTCTACAGGTGAGTGTTCAGGTTAGATTGTGTTTCTGGTGCTAACGTTCTACGATTCCTTCATTTGTTCTGTTGTTTCTTTGTGGGTTGCACTGCTGTTATGCTGTTGTTGTGGTGTCGTCACTGTTGCTATGGCTACATTGTGTGTTTTTATTGTCATGGCAGCGTGTGATGATGTTGTCTTCATGGCAGTGTGATGCTGTTGTCGTTATGGCAGCTGTTGTGATTTTGTCGTCGTCATGGCAGCGTGTCGTGATGCTATCGTCGTCATGACAGCATGTCGTGATGCTATCATTGTCATGACAGCGTGTGGTGACGCTAACGTCGTCATGGCACCGTGTCGTGATGCTATCGTCGTCATGGCAGCGTGTCGTGATGCTATCGTCGTCATAGCAGCATGTCATGATGCTAACGTCGTTATGACAGCGTGTCATGATGCTAACGTCGTTATGACAGCGTGTCGTGATGCTAATGTCATCATGGCAACGTGTTGTGATGCTAATGTCGTCATGGCAGCGTGTCGTGATGCTAACTTCGTCATGGCAGCGTGTCGTGATGCTAAAGTCGTCATGGCAGCGTGTCGTGAGGCTAACGTCGTCATGGCAGCGTGTCGTGATGCTAACGTCATCATGGCAGCGTGTTGTGATGCTAACGTTGTCATGGCAGCGAGTGTGCACGTGCAGCGAGCACCTCCATCAGCTCATGGCAGAGACACTGACAGAAGCCGTACAGGACGAGCAGCAGCAGCGTGGAGGGAACCAGGCTGACCAGGACCACGCCTAGCCACAGCTGACCAATCATCAGCAGGTAGATCCCCAGAGGCAGCGAGCTGAAGTACACCTGCAAACAGACCAACAGCACATCAATCCCACCTGTGCAAACACACCCCTGGACACAGAAACCTTTCTCTACATGTTGCTGGTTGGTTGGTGGGCTGCACAGTCTGGCTTCCTCCCTCCAAAGACACAGTGAGGTTACCTGGTGACTCTAACTGTCTGTAGGTGTCAATGTGAGTCTCTGTGATGGACTGGTTACCTGTCCAGGTAAGCTGCCCTCAGTCAGCTGGGATAGACTCTGCCCCCCCATGCCCTACAGAGGATGAAGTGTGTAGAGATGACGGATGGCTGTTGTGGATGTACTGACCAGACACAGCGCCCCCAGCAGGCAGCGGGGGATGCTGCGGGACGTCCAGGCGCGACACTTCTGAGCCGGCAGGTTGCAGGGCAGCGAGTCCAGGCTGGGGGGGCGGTACAGACCCACCACGTTGAGCATGCTCAGTGAGTCAGAGGACGGAGACTCCTCAGGGAGCTCCATGATGGTGATGACCAGGCAGTCTGAGGAGCGGTGAGACACGTCCACGCCTCCTCCTGGTCCTCCTGCAGACAGACGGAGGACACGCCTGATGCTGTTGGTCTGAACACAGAAACACTCAGAAAACAACCGCTGGTCGTATTTTACCGGTGAGACCGGTGGGACTCAGCACCACCTCCCCTCCACCTCCTGCCGCTCCTCGCCGAGCTCGGTCCTGACAGGACAGCACAGCCAGGATGTGTCGGTCGTCCTCCATCAGCCACACCTGAGGAAGAAGAGGACGGTTGGACAGGTGGAGGACAGAGGAGGAAGGACCTCGGTAGAAACTTAGACTCACCTCCTCGTCGGGGATGTGCGTCTCATGGCGACAGAAGGGACAGCTGATGATGGAGGGTGAAGACTCGCCTAAACACAACCGCAGAACAGATGGTGATCAGTCCCACCGCAAACTGGGATCTGTTCCCTGATTGGTCCATCAGTTAGGCCTCTGCTGATTGGATAAACTCACCCATGTCGACCATCTTCTTCAGACACTTGGCGCAGACTCGGTGCAGGCAGCCCAGCAGTTTGGGTTTCCGGCTGCGCGTGTCGTAACGGTTGTAGCAGATTTTACATTCGAGTTCCTCCAGAGTGTAAACCAGAGACTGAGCCCAGGTCTGCACCTAAACGCACCACATCATACAGTTAGTGTCACTGAACGCACCACAACATACAGTTAGTGAC